GAATATCTAATATCTGGCAAAGAGTAAGGCTGGCGTCCCTTGCATTCTGCGTGGAAAATGGAGCATGCACTTTCGTTAAGTAGGTATCATGATATACAGCCCTTGAGAGGAACACTGTTCACCCTGTAGCCTAAGATGTACCTAAGGCCGTCCCATGTAATTGCCATAACTAATCAATTGCTACACCAAAAAATATACAGCTAGCACTTCTATAGCTTTATTGGGCTTGGTTTCCATCAAATGGAAACTGATCCCCTCCTCCACCCGTCCCCGGTTAATCAAATTCCTCCACCTGTGACCCCTGTCAGACGTGTTTTCTTGGGAGATGGCTCAAGGGCAGAAATGACCCACGCATGCAAAGCTTTGGCTGGCTTGCTGCAGAATGTGACTCTCTCAATTTCAGGAAGGGTGGCCCTGACAACTCTCACAGTGGTAGCATCTGGAGGCTGGCGTTGGATCTTCTCTTCTGCCTCCTTCAAACAGTAGTAGATGCTTGATATCTTGTGCTGCTGATTCGTGGATGCAGTGATGAGCCGCTTCTGGATGTCCCTCCACACAGCCTTCGTCTTCATGTTTGAGTCATATGAAGCATCTCGGAATCCTGTAAAATAACACAAAGAGCGGTTTGTTATTACATCAAGAGGAATTGCAACAAGGCGCATGAAATATAGGAAATTGCATTGTTACCAATAAGAGTGAGCACGGCTGACCAAAGCTTCACAATGTCTTCAGGGGGCACATTCTTGTACACGGACAGCTCAGCAACGACCACCCTGCTCAGGCTTTGGAAAGATGATGCTGGCTGCTTGCACTCGCTGCCTTTTCGGGCATCGTTTCCACCTGATACCCCGCTGCCCTTGTCATTGCCTGATGAACGGGCTGAAGCCTTTTCCAGGACTTTCCCTGAGGATGATGACCGCCTAGTTGAAGACTCGGAACGAAGCAAATCATTACTTGCAGTTGATGCCTTCTCCCGATAACTTTCTACTGCAGCCGCTTCATGGTGACCATCCACCCAGCTTCCAGTGCCCGTGGTTACGCCTGCAGAGCTCATCATGTCAATGCTGTCGCCTGATATAGATTCAGGCGAGAAGCACGGAGAAAACTTCTGAGCTAGATTCTGAGACGCTAACCCATGATGTGTAGATTCCACCTTGGTGGATACCTGGTCGTAGACGCTGGTGCTGAAGGACCTAATCAGATTCAATGGTTGCATATCTTGTTCGCCCCTTGACTCCTTCTCCCAGTTATGCATCCTTGTGCCACGATCCATGTAAGCAGATGAAGCTGTCATCCTGGCTGGATACGAAGAATGGAACTCTGAGCTCATGTTTCTCTCCTCACTGAAGTTGGAACGGTTCTTCACAGAAGGTTGAAATCGGGTCGCGTTGCCCATTGTGACACTCTCGACTTCGTTGACTCGCGGAAGATGGTTGGTGTAGTAGGGCTTCGAATTTGTTGGCTTATAGATGTATGGAGACTGCAGCGAATAATGATTATCAGGTTCTCCATGCTTCTCCCTCGTCCAGGCAGGTGAGGTACGCGGGTCTAGCGATGCTGAAGTTGCCGTGTATGCTCTGGGTAAGCTGGAAAACGTGGAGCGAGAAGAAGGGGACATTATTGGCGACGACGGTCTGTCAGTAGGAGATGCCGATTTTCCACGTGAAATGACGCCACATATCCTCTGCGTCAAGACAAAACGACAAGAATACATCAGAACCGAGACGAAACGAATAGAATGACGATTTGTCAACTAGACACTCCACCTTACCATCGCCATGTCCCTCTCTGCTGAAACCTTGGCGAGCTGTTCCTGATATCGTCTACATTCTAGCCTTTCACGGTGGAGTTGATCTAGAAGGCGTTGCTTTTCCGCCCTTTCTTCCTCAAGCTGCCTGCATAACCATTGTACGGCTTGGTCAGACATGGTAACCTCAACATCAGAAGCGTTTAGCTTCGTTTCCTCCAGGACCCGAAAGCTCAAGGATCCCCTCTCGTATTGTTCCTCCTCTTGCTTAGGAGTAGCTCGGGAAGATGGAAGAGGAAGATCCATGAAGAGCTCAAGATTGTGGTCTGAGACTGAGCTGGGAAGTTTCATTCCTAGAGACTGTCGCCGCCACTGACACCACCACCGAAATTTGGGTTGTCTGACTTCTCTAGAAAGCGGCGCCGAAAACTGCATGCAGGGACTCGAGCGATTGTACTCGGTTGCAACACATTCAGGACGATGCACAGCATTACAGATGTGGGTTTGCAGCAGAGGTAAGGTAAAATAAAGCATTTCCGATTAGATGTGCATTTGGATTTACTGTTATGCATAGAATTAATATCAGGTGTGAATTTTACTGCAATATTGATAATTTTTGAGTATTTTTTTATTAATAGTTTGCTTCTCCATAATTTGAGTATTTCCTGATAAGTAGTAGTTTCAGAGATTTATTATAATTCTTAAATGCATAAAAGGAGAGAATTGTTTTTGGGGAAGATATAGGATAAGTGGAGACATATCAATCTATGGAGAATACATTGTTTTATACAGCAAGCTCGACCTACTGAGATTGATCGCTATGTGCAAACTTGGGAGAAATGCTCTTTATCAGACTACACGTTTTTTTTTTTTTTTTTTTTTTTTTTTTTCGCCACTAATCAGCTTCGTTACATTTCAACAAGCATACAGACATGCATAAACCCTTCCTAGAAGTGTCTTACTACCTCAAACATCAAAAGACCATCGCCAAAACCCGAAACAAAGTATTGCTTCCTAAGACATCTACAGCCGCATGTCGACCAAGTAGGGCACGTCCACCCATGGTGCTCCCTCTCCAAACTCCTGCTCCCCACCCCCTCGCTCCACCCACTCCGCCTCGGACTGACCCAACGTGTATGCCGCCCGCAAAAGAATCACCCGAGCCTGTGCCTTCTGCAAAGCTACCCCTACCGCGGCTGTCAAGGACCCCACCAAGTATTTCGAGAAACCCGAGCTGTTGCCCCTTCCCACACCTTTGTTAAGAGCCACCTTTACTTGAACCTCCCCCTGCTGCCGTAACCACTGTCGAAAGCTTCCCCCCAAGCAACCCCAAGTCTCAAGAATCAACGGGAAGAAACGAACCCCCCTGTGTTGCCGCAGAAAAGGTTGATAATCCGTCGCCTTCCTCTTCTCTCGCTCCTTGGCAGCAAAACCTACTGTCCGCCCACACTGCCCATGCTGCTGCACCGGTAGCGAAACCGGATCCACGACGCTCACCTCGAGCGCATGTTTTTCCCCGTCCATTGGTTTCCTAACCGCCACATCCACTCTCTTCCCCGGCAGAAGCGTGTCATCCTCGATCGTAACCACCCCACCCGATGCCTTGGCTATCTTAGCAACAACGAGCTTCACTGCATCATGAACACGAGACGGGGCGTACTGGTACTTGCACCGAAGAGCATGGTGCGGATCTGACGGGTCCTTGAACTCCACACCGCAAACACACTTGCCAGCAACCAGAAGCTGGTGGACGGGAAGGCCCAAACGGATTGCCGCCGAAATGCCCCACTCCACAGGGGTGAAAGTTGCGTCATCATGCGCTGGAACTGCGGACACCCATGCTGCCGAACCCGGGCCCTGAAGGGAAGTCAAACGGGCCAAGGTAGCATCATCGCGGGCCATGCGCCGCAGAGACTGAAGACTTTCAACCGCCAAGCGACGCTGCTGCGCTGGGAAAAGCTGGAGGGGGGGATTTGTAGTGCAGAGCCCCAAACTCGGCAATTCCTGCCTGACAACAGGCGGGAGCTGGTCAAGGGCCTTGGTAAACCAAGGGTCCAGTAAATCCCCAGCCGGCGGAGTGCGGAAGAACTCACTGAACATCTGCTCCTCGCCCGCTACTCCCAGCTTGACAACAGCACTCGCAGCCTGGCACCACCCACAGACGTAAGAGAGAGGGCTAAGAGTTGCTGCTGAACGAATGCCAAACCCGCCCAAACGAGCCGGGAGGTGCAGCTGCAGGTGAGCCATGCGCGACCTATCAGGACTGAAGTCCCAAGTGTCTGGCGGGAAAAGTTGCTCAAAGCACTCTTCCAAAGCCCCATCCCAATCTCTGAAAGCGTCAAGAACCTCAGGACGAGGGGGAACAGTGCGAGTCAAGAAGAGCGGCCGCGCAGACACGGCAACAGCCAACAAGTGGGAGGCAATCTGGGGGTGGTTCAAAATAGGAAGCCAAGGTAGAGGTGATCGCAGCTGCAAAAGTCTCTCCCTCAAGCGCGCCACCTCCCAATCCTCCTCTCCAATAGGTACCCCCACCACTGTTAACCCCGTCCACGACTGCTGCATTCCCAGCGGAATATCCCCAGACGCTGCCGCCTCCCCTCTTTCCCACATCCTACACTTGTGCGATTGCACCTCCAAGCCCACCCACTCCAGTCGCTCCCGCAAGACATCGTACGCCGCCAACACCCGCTCCCGCGGGCCAAGAACGTAGGTGTCATCAGCGTAGCTCAAGAAAAGAAGATCAGGGAAATCCTTCATTGTAGGCCCCATAACCAACTGCTGCGTGAAAGCAAAAAGGAAGGGACCAAATGGATCCCCCTGTCGCGAACCCCGCTCGGACGCCAGCATCTCGACAAAGGGGCCTGTGCGAAGGTACAGACCGCTGGGCACCCCATAAAAGACGCGTAAGAAAGGGATAAGGCCAGCAAAAGGAGAATCGCGGAGGCCGTCGAACATCACGTGCCGATGGAACGAGTTGAAGGCATTCGCTACATCGATCTGCAGCGCGCACCACGTCGGATGAACCGCTACAGCCGAGCGGAAAGCATGCGCCAGAATCTCCACCCCCGACTTAGTCCCCACCCCTAGTTGGTTACAAGGAGCGAAGTAGGTCTCCATGTCGGGACGAAGAAGAACGCATAACGCACGCGCCAGAATCCGAGGGAGCACCTCTCCGATAGCCACTGGGCGGACGTCCCCGTTCGGCTTGGATAACCCAACCAAGTTCGAGGCTGCAAGCCAGGGCCGCACCCGCTCAGAAACGCATCCCGAAATCCACTGTCTGAACACCTCCAACAGATGCGGGAGATAGGAAGGCTCCGAGAGAAATGTGTCTCGGAGGTGCTCTGTCATCCATCCTGAGGGGCCTGGTGCTGAGGCTCGCGCTGCGGAATGAATAGCATGCTTGAGGATGTCTTCAGTTAGGTGGGGAAGATGAGAAACGTCTATGCGAAAGTGCTCCACCCACTCAGGAACTGGCACCTCACTGGCCGGGTGCTTTGCTGTCAGCCGGTCTACTGTTAATTGAGAGGGCTGCGCCAAGTCGCCCGCAGTAAGGCATGCTAGTCCTCGACTCCATTCCCCCACTTGGCACCTCGTGCGACATCGGGCCAAACGGATGGCATCAGCATCTCGCTCAGGTAAGGAGAAGGCAAGAGGTCGCGCCGCCGGAGTCAACGCGGCAGAGGCAGCCTCGAACAGCTGTTGCCATTCCCCTGCCCAGAACTTTCCGAGACGCCCTACTATGGCTGCCCTTCGTCCAAGACCCTCCTTCGCGGGGACTCCCAAAATGAGGCGCGGGAAGGCCAGGAACATCAGCGTCGCCGCCTCATCCCCAGGGGAAGCCTTCAGTCTCTTGAGAATGCAGCACAATGCATCAAGCACCCCCAGTCGCGCCCGCTGCGGGACCCGACGAAGAAGCTCTCCCGACACAGAATGAATACTGAAAAAAGTCTCCCAGTCCCACGAAGGCACCGCCCCCCACACCTCCTCACCGATATCCCGCGGAGGTACTGGATCTGCCCCGAAGACCTCGCTCAGGTTCGGGGAGGAAGTAAGGGCCTGAGCCCGCCGCTGAGCATCTGCCGCTTTACATGCAACTATGTGGCGGGAGGCCGCACCACCAGGCGGAAATGTGTGAAAGCAGAACTCGCAAGGGACACAAGTTGGAGCAAGTGGAGCCGTGTCAGGAGTGGCTGAATTCTCCGCAACCCCCGGTGTGGGGCTTTCCGGAGGGATCGGGGGGGGCTGCTGCTGCTGCTGCTGCTGCTGACGCTTCTGCCGCTGCTGCTGCCGCTGCCGCACGCCCTGAAGTGCTGCCCTCGCCCCCAGCTGTCCCCCTGCGTGCTGCACGCCCTGAGGTGCTGCAGTCACCCCCTGCTGTCCCGCTGCCTGCTGCACGCCCTGGGGTGCTGCAGTCACTCCCTGCTGTCCCGCTGCCTGCTGCACGCCTTGAGGTGCTGCAATCAGTCCCTGCTGTCCCCCTGCCTGCTGCACGCCCTCAGGTGCTGCAGTCACTCCCTGCTGTCCCGCTGTTTGCTGCATGCCCTGGGGTGCTGCAGTCACTCCCTGCTGTCCCGCTGCCTGCTGCACGCCTTGAGGTGCTGCAATCACTCCCTGCTGTCCCCCTGCCTGCTGCACGCCCTCAGGTGCTGCAGTCACTCCCTGTCGTCCCCCTGCCTGCTGCACGCCCTGGGGTGCTGCAGTCACTCCCTGCTGTCCCCCTGCCTGCTGCACGCCCTCAGGTGCTGCAGTCACTCCCTGTTCCCCTGACAGTGGCCGCCGTCGCACCAGCTGGCCTCCCGGACGTTGGCTCGTAAGCGGCCGCCCCAACTCGCCCTCTTCCTGCTGATCCTGCTGATTGCCCGACCGCTGCTTGCCCTGGCCTCCGCGTCGCCTCCTGCCCTTGCCTCATGGCAGTTGATCGTCCACGGGCCCCTGCGCCTGAGCGCCCAGCTCACGCAGCTGCTGCCCTCTCTGATCCGTTTCCCCTATCTGCAGCTCCCCAGGAGGAACAAAAAGATCTTGTTGGTGCTCCCCACTGTGGCCCGAGAGCTGTGACACAGGCACCAAATCTGTCTCCATTTCTTGCTGCTCCACTCGAAGTGGGCTCGCTACACCCATGACTTCCCATGTATCACCCACCCAGGTGCCCAGCTGCTGCCCCTGCTGCTCTCCCGGGTGCTGCTCCTCCAGCCTCAGTTCTTGCTGCTCCCCTGGCTGCATTTCCTGCTGCTCCCCTGGCTGCATTTCCTGCTGCTCCCCTGGCTGCATTTCCTGCTGCTCCCCTGGCTGCATTTCCTGCTGCTCCCCTGGCTGCATTTCCTGCTGCTCCCCTGGCTGCATTTCCTGCTGCTCCCCTGGCTGCATTTCCTGCTGCTCCCCTGGCTGCATTTCCTGCTGCTCTCCTGGATGCATTTCCTGCTGCTCCCCCCGTTGTATTTCCTGCTGCTCCCCTGGCTGCAGCTCCTGCTGCTCTCCTGACTGCATTTCCTGCCGCTCTCCTGGCTGCATTTCTTGCTGCTCCCCCCGTTGCATTTCCTGCTGCTCCCCTGGCTGTAGCTCCTGCTGCTCCCCAGGCTGCAGTTCCAACTGCTCCCCCATCTGCATTTCCTGCTGCTCTCCTGGCTGCCGTGCCTGCTGCTCCCCCATCTGGATTTCCTGCTGTTCCTCCCCTATCTGCATGTCCTGCTGCTCCCCTGGCTGCCGTTTCTGCTGCTCCCCTGGCTGCCGTTCTTGCTGCTCTCCTGGCTGCATTCCCTGCTGCTCCCTCATTTGCAGTTCCTGCTGCTCCCTAAGCCACAGTTTCTGCTGCTCTCCTGGCTGCCATCCCTGCTGACCTTCGCCCAGCTGCTCATGCTGCCGGGGAGGCAGCCCACCCTGCTGACTCCGCTGTTGTTGCCTTTCAAACTGCTGCTCCTGCAACTCACTTGGCTGCCTTTCCGACTGTTGCTCGTGCTGGCCCGCGAGGCGCCCTCGTTGAGCAGTCCCGCTACGACCACGACCGCGACCTCGACCACGACGGCGCACGCCCTCTTGCCCCGTGCTCGCGGGCTGCACACCTTGTCCTTGCGCGCTCCGAAAGAGAAAAGTATGTTCCACAGCTCCAGCCCATCCCTTTAGAGACGCCCCCGTTCGTGCCTTCGGGAAGGGATTGATGTCTCTAGTCTCCCCTGCAGCCACCGGCAGACCCTGCTGCATCGCCGACAGCGTTTCCGGTTGCTCCCTCCCTGGTTTCCGTCCCTGTTCCCCACGCTCCCAATGCTCCTCCTCGAGTAACTCCCCCTGGACCTTTGTCGGCAGGCCCAGCTGGCCCTCCGCCAGACGGCTCGGCTGCCTCCTCAGCACCTTTTCCGGCAGGCCTGCATCCGTCACCCCCTGCTGCCCACCTGCCCCGCACTTCCGGCCCTCATCCGCCAGCAGGGCCCCCTGCACCTCCTGCCTCCCCGCTGTCGACTCCGCCTGCTCTGCCGTCGCCCACTCTTGCCGACCGCCCGTGCCAGCTACCAACAAACGCCTCAGCTCCTGCCGTCGTGCCAAGCGCGGTCCAAGTGGAGCCCTGCTAGGACCCACTGAAGCTCCAAGAGTGCCGGGCGACTCTGTTGCCGTGGCACCAAGTGGAAGCTCGCGCCGCCGCCTATTATGCAGCTCCTGCAAGTGCCGGCGTTGCGCCTCCCACGCCGCCACTGCCCTGTCCATCCCCGGATCACTTGGTTCCTGCCCACGCCCATCTACCCCTCGGGTGTCTTGTGCATCCACCAGCCCAGAGGATGCGTGTGGGCAATTGGGCGATGCTTGCTGGTCTACCGAGGGCGTGCGTGGGGTAACAGCCGCCTCCCGCTGTTCACCAACCGTGAGTGGTGCCTCAGCCAAAGGAGGCTGAGCATCCCCATTACTAAGCCGCTGCGAAGTTCCTGAGAGCGGCGGTACACCGAGCATGTCGTTGGTGCTGATGGGGGCGGCTGGTGCCTCGCGGTGTCGTTTGCATGGTGTCCCCTCCGAGCAAAGTCGGTCTACCGAGCTCAGGCGCCGGAGACCGAGGAGGAGTGGCTGCGTAGGGCCTACCCAAGGCCGCTTGAGAGTGTTTGCTTGGGGCTGCGCTACATACTCCCGAGCGCTAGTGCCTGAGTGCCTGTCTGGGTCAGCAAGTGCTTCCGCCTCGCCATGCGGTGCCTGCGTAGGTGTGTGCTCGTGCTGCAAGTCGGCCATGCCGTGGATCCTGTAGCGCCTGTCTAGATCCGCGCTCTTCAGTTCCAGCTCCTAGCAACAAGAGAGCCCGGTGTGCCCGTGTGGCGGGGTAGCGAGAAACCGAACACTGCTAATCTTGCTCCAAGCGGGGAAAACCTGGTTGTGCACGTGGTAACGAGGAAACGCACACTGCAGTTCCTGCTCCTAGCGAGGGAAAACCAGCTGCACACTCGGCTACGCGAAGACGTCCACTGCAGATCCTGCTCCTAACGTGAGTCGTGGCGTCAGGGGCGAAAGCAACAACCGTCCACTTGGGTCCCTGCTCCTAGCGTAAATCGCAGCTATGGCGTGAAACCGTCACTTCACTACGCGCTCCTACGTGGAATCGCTGCTGTGGGCAGGGTAGCGTGAAGCAATCGCTGCGCCAACCTGTTTCTGAATAAATTGCAATTCTATCTCGTCACTGAGCGTCACTTGTGCTGGAGGATAAGCCGTCACTTGCCATGGGTGATGCTGGATTGCCTGTCGTCAGAAGCGTTGAACCGGTAATGCACTCAGAAGAGTTGAATCCTCGCACATCACCGTTGAAATATTCTCCACTCGCTGTTCTCGTGGACTCACCAGTAGCAGCAAGCCTCAGCTACCGGGATCACGAAGTATGCGCTGCGAGATACTATTGGCGCGAGCGACCGCTTCCGATGCCACGTGGCGAGACCGACTCCATAAGCCGTTTAACCGAACCGGTGATTGCCGATGCGTTAATGGCAAATTTTACAACGAATCTTATGGGGAATACGGATTTCCTGGCTCAGAGCCGGGTGGATCAGATAGGGGGAGGTTCCGCGGGTATGAGGGATACAGGGGGAGAAGTGGAAGCTGGGGAGGGATTGGCGGAGAGTGGATCAGCTGCGGAGAGAGGAGAGGCTGAAGAGAGGATGGGGGAGAGATTGGCCAGTGAGATAGAGACGGGGAGGGAGTTGCTGGGGAAGAGGGGGGTTTCAGGTGGAGAGGGTGGGATGAAACGAGAAGGGGGTTTGAAAAAGGGAGAGGGGGTAAGCGAAGAGGAGTTGGAGAGGAAGAGACGGATGAGAGAGAAGAAGCGGCGGAGGGTCCAGGAGAAGAAGGAGAAAGCGAGGCAGGAACGCGTGTTGGGGGAGACCGAGGCTGCAGCTGAGGCTCGGCATCAGGTGCGGATGCAGGAGGAGAGGAGCCACTTGTGTATAGTCGTCATGGTTGGGAACAGTAGGTAGAAGGTGTATGGCCTCCAAGCTTGTATGTAACTGTCATGTCAGAATGCCGAAAACTGTCCGGGTGCTGAAAACTGTCAAGGTGCTGAAAACTGTCAAGGTGCTGAGAGCATTTTGTCTTGTCTGGGAGAAGGGATGAAGCTGTGTGCCGAAGGTTCGTGAAATATCTCAAGAATCTCCTTTTCCCCTCCCTCCCATTTCCCCCCTCTCTCTCAGGCCATCGAAGGGCTCCTTTCAGCAGCGTTTTCCGCCCTCTGTACGCGTTTGAAGCCGCCTCAAGATGCGTCTATTTGTTCACAGCGGGTCCTCCCTGAAAGAGCTCTAGAGCCCGCCCTGCAACGAGATGTGTGGCTGTCTGAGGGATGTGAGATGGAGGCGAGAAAGGGGAGCACAGCAACTGCAGAAGCACCAGCAGCAGCAGCAACAACTAGATCAACAGCACCAGCGGCAGCAGTAGACTTGGTTGCCCTTGGGGATTGTTGGCAATCCAAACTGTGTGAAATCACTCTCTCCCTCCCTCCCACCACTCCTCCCAACTCCCTCGCACCAACACCCAACAATCCAATCAACCCCCCCCGCAACACCCAATCTTCCCACCCCTCATCTACCCCATACACCACGCCCACCCCACCCACTCCACTTACCGCATCCGCCCCATCCACCCCTCTGTTCCGTCATCTGGTGGCGAATCCATCTGTGTGCCGTGATGCCATAGCGCGGTTGCACCTCGGCCTGCAGGAGACTGGGGAAGATGCTCGCTTTGTCTTGCCTCCGCAGTCCTGGTTCCTCATTGTACGGAGCGAGGTTTCTCACTGATTGCATGGCACGGAGTTGCTATTGTCAAGAGATGAATATCAAATAAGCAGTTGGATTTTCCGCGTTCTTATGACCCCTTTAGTTTTTTTTTTTTTGGTTTGTCTGCTTACTCCAGCTGCAGCACTGCCAACGCATTGGTTCCTCTATCCTTCTTCCCTCCACCCTCCACCCTCCTCCCACCCACCCGCCCATTCCCATCCACCAGTCTAGTGCTTCTGAGCTGCAGCAACTTCTGCCGTCCCTGCTGCTGCCGGCCCCAACCCCATCAACACCATCAGTGTCACCCCCACCACCATCACCGCCACCACCACCACCATCACCGCCACCACCATCACCGCCGCAATCCCACAACTCACACCAGCCACATTCACAATCACGACCACACTTTCACTCCCACAACACTCAACCTGCATCACCCCTTCCGCGGAACCACCACCAGGAGAACATCCCCACCCATCACCACCCATCTGCACCACCCACACACACCCCCCACAACGGATACCACCTAATCCTCATAGATCCCCCGTGGGAGAACAAAAGTGTGGCACGAACCAAGTCGTATGCCACCCTCCCCAGTCGGCACCTCCTCTCCCTCCCTGTTCCTCGCCTCGCGTCGAGGGAACGTGGCGCAGTGATGGCACTGTGGGTGACCAACAGGGAGAGGCTGAGACAGTTCGTGGAAAGAGAGCTGCTGCCCGTGTGGGGGGCGCGGCACGTGGCGACGTGGTATTGGCTGAAGGTGAGGGGTCGATCGTGAGGTGTGTGTGTGTGTGTGTGTGTGTGTGTGTGTGTGTGTGTGTGCGCGCGCGCGCACGCGCACACAGATATTAATATCCGCCAATGTTATTGTCCATCATCGTTTTGACCTCATATGTAGCAGTCGTTACCCCATTCTCTCGCCCCCCCTTCTGCATCCAGTGCTTCCTTAGCCGCCTTTCCTCTCCCTTTCGTCCCTCTTCCCTCCCTCCCCACTCCCCATCATCTCCCTCCCTCCAGCTCGCCACTCTCTCACCTCCCTCCCTCGTCTCCCCCCTCGCCTGCTCACACCACCGCCCATACGAAGTGCTACTGCTGGCTCTCATCCCTCCCAAGACCACGGATTCACAGCTGCTGTTTACCTCAAAGGCTGCTCTTCACCTTAACGCGCCGCAAAGGGAATGGCTAGAGCAACAAGAGTGTGGCAAGGTGGTGGGGGTAGACGGGAGGTTGGGGGAGGGGAACGGGAGGAGGGGAGCGGGGGAGGGGAGGAGGGGTGGAGAAGAGGGGAGATGGGAGGTGAGGAGGGATAGGAGAGAGAGGGTGATGGGGGATGTGGCAGTGAGGATGGAAAGGGGGGTTGGTTGGGAAAGGGAGGGTAAGAGAGATGCGGAGAAGGAACGGGAGAGAGGAAGAGGGAGTTCGGGTAACAAAAGTCCTGGTATGGGTAGAGATAGTGGGGAAGGGAGGAGGAGGGATGGAACTGGGATGCTTTGGTTCTCCCCACGCTCTGCTGTTAATGCATGTGTGGACGGATCACAATGCAGGAGTCGGGGGGTTAGCGAGAGAGAAAATGGTCAAGTGAACCAAACTGAATGTGAAGAAGGAGAGAAGGGAGGTGCTGGGAAGGAACGGCAGGGGGGCGCTGTGGAAGGGGTTATGAATGGCCGTGCGGGTCCCGTCGATTCGGACACAGATATGCATATGGGCTCATGCACGGGTGTAAGCGATGGCATGGGTTTGGGCATGGCCATGGGCATGGATGCGAGTGGGGTCACCGCTCCCACGGAAACAGAGTTGCTGCAGCAGACGCTACTAGATAACCTCGTTCTTCTCAGTGTGCCAGGAGAACATTCGAGAAAGGTTCCTCTGAGAGGTGAGGCGCCATCATCACCAGCGGCGGTCAGTAACGGCTGACTCTACTCACATGTTGCTCTGAGATTATTCTTCCCTGATGTTTTATTAGGAGCACGTGAAGGCCCTCTGTTGTTTGTGTTCCTACGTTTCATGGGACACCTTTGTTTCGCCATGATAGTCTCGCTTCCACACCCCTCGCTCTCACGAGTTTGTCCTGGATTTATATATATATATAGATATATATATATATGTATATATATATATTCCATGAGCGGTCCTTGCATCTACATTGATACCATTCGTTTTCCTGTTTTTTTTTTAAATGTCATGTTTTATTCTCCATTCATGTTTACATTCCATACTATTCTGGTCCAGTCATCTAGTTAGTCGTTCATTCATCTTGTCACTATTCTGATTGCTCTATTCTCGCCCCACTTCCTGTTGCATTCGCTTTGGCCCACTCCCTCGTCCCCAGGCCTGCTAGTTGCGGTCACTGCATCCCTTTTAAACCTCTCTTCACCACACCAAACCGCGCTTCCTGCTGCACTTTTTGCCCATGCACACGCTGTGCGGCATGCCAGGAAGAGCCCTGGTTTCCGGGACGGTGGAAATGAGAGCGAGGAAATGGAGGAGAGAGAGGAGAGGGAGGAGGAGAGAGAGGAGAGGGAGGAGGAGAGTGAAGAGAGAGAGGAGATAGAGGAGAGGGAGGAGGCGATAGAGGAGAGGGAGGAGGTGGGGGAGGAGGGGGAGGAGGTGGGGGAGGAGGAGCAGAGGGAGGAGGTGAGGGCAGTGGAGCTGTTTGCACGAGACTTGGAGGCAGGGTGGACGTCATGGGGCAACGAGCCCCTTAGGTTCCAGCACCACCTATACTTCCGCTCGTGCGTGTAACAAGGTTGAAGCACTACCATTACTTCCACCCTCAGTTAGTCCTTAGAAACGTCATTCTATTACGGTAACCTTTCTGTTACAGGAGGGCAGGGTTTCTTTATCTAGGCCATTGCATGTTGTGAGTTTCCTTGATGCCAAATTACCCCTTTATGCTAGGTAAAATGAAAGTGTATATGTATGTGTGTTATATGTATACATAGTTTTTTCCTGGTAAGCTATTATTTGTGCAAGAAATGCTTGTAAATAATTGACTACAACTCATTTTGTAAGCCTTAAAGTGTACATTTTTTCCTGCTTCATCGTGAAAGAGCCACGGCACAGCGACGGTTGAAGCTACAGCAAGCGACGGCAGACATGACAGCAGAAGCGACGGGCCTGCGGAATGGTGTGGCAATGTGGCACACATGTGCGTTCGTTCGCTGAACGATGAGGCGACAACTGTGGACCACCAGCCAATGGCTCTCCCTCCCACAGTCGCACGTGTAGCCGCCGCGTCCGCACCGTCCGCACCGTCCGCACCGTGCGCACCGTCCGCACCGTCCGCACCGTCCGCACCGTGCGCACCGTCCGCACCGTCCGCACCGTCCGCACCGTCCGCACCGTGCGCAGCATCACAAGCAGGTGTGGTTTCAGAGTCATTCGTTGCAGGGTATCGCGTTGCAATGACGAGTCATTGCAGTTCCGGAAGCAGCAGGTTGAGAAGTGCTGGTTCCTTCTACTGACGCGGATCGAGATGATGCCGGGGAAAAGGAAGCGTGGTCGTTGTAACCTGGCGGGGATGTAACAGCGCATCGCATGGGAGAAAGACCCATATGTTGGGAGAAAAGGGGGAACGGCGCATGGGAGGGGGTTTCATGCATGTATAAACATACAAGCCCATCCCCACCATCCCCATCCCCACCATCCATCCTTATCCCAATCATCCCCATCCCCCTTATCCCCATCATCTTTCCCCGGCCGGCCTACCATCATCTCCCTCCTCATCCTCCAACGAGTCTGAGTCTGTCTCAAAGTATCCTCCCCTGTCCTCTCCTCGCCACTCCCTCTCCTTCCACCACCCTTCGCCCCCCTCCTCCCCACCACCTCTCCCTTCCCCTCTCCCTTCCCTTCTCCCCTCCCCTTTCCCCTCCCATCTCTGCTCCTCCTCCCTCACCCCATACACCATCACCGGCCCCTTCCGTCTCCCACCCTCTCCTCTCCCCTCCCCACTCCTCCCTCCCCCCATCCCTTCCCCCTCCCTCCCTCTCCTCCTCCCCTCCTCCCCTCCTCTCCCTCCCCCTCCCCCTCCCCCTCCATCTCCCCCCTCCCCTTCCTCCCCGTCCACCTCCCCAACCTCCACGCGAACCCCATCGGGCAGAATGCAGTTGCAGAGCAGGGCAGTGCGGGCAAGGCGGTTGATCCAGGAGGGGGGTTCCTGGTCTACCAGCAAGCGGCAGAGGTCGGAGGTGAAATGGTTGCAGTTGCGCGATATGATCTGGTAGCTGATTCCCGTGTAGCTGCAGGCTAGCTGCTGCACTATGGAACGGACCTGGGATGGGGCATGGGGAAGGGGGCGGGATGGGAATGGGCATGGGAAGGGGCATGAAGATGAGGCATGGGGATGGGGCAATGGGATGGGGCATTAGCATCGGGCATGGGCATGGGTATGCATATGGGTATGGGAACGGGGATGGGCATGGCAAAGGGATGAACGAGGTTGCATTTCTGTGTGAAACACAGGAGCACCTGTAACATTGCAGCATGAGTGGCGGTTCTGAAACCATTGCACAATAAGAAGAGCAGGAACATGGGTCATGGGTGTGAACTACGCTACTAGATTATCACTGCATGAGTGGCATGTCAACACGCAGTGCATGTTAGAGGGGACAAAGGCAACAAGCCATGTGCCATGAACCATCCACCATGCACCATCCACCATGCACCATCCACCATGCACCATCCACAACAACCCACACACTACCCACCACGCACCACACACCACCCACCCCCACCAGTCACCTGAAGAGGGGAGAGTGTGGTGGTGCCCACGGGGATGGCGGTGCGGAAGAGGAACCCTGGGGCGCAGCGGGGGGGCAGCTCGAACACGCCACTGCACGCCTGGTCGTGCGCTCCAAACGCGTACTCCACGCCGTGCACTGGGGGAGTGGGGGGGGGGGGGGGAGTGGGGGAGAACAAGTTATGGCAGGGGGAATGGAGGTAACGGAGAGGCTTTAGACTCCACGCCGTGCACTGGGGAGGGGGGGGGGTGGGGGTGAGAGACGGGGATATGGAGGAAGAGTGGAACAGAGGCCCAGAGGGCTGGGATTTGCGAGATGCGGAACGGGAGAAGGGGAATGGGGATGGCAGTTGGGGCTGATTACGTATGTTTCCCAACATGCACTGCTGGGGAAGGAGGACGGGATGGGACTGCAGCCATGGGGTTGGAAGGGCCTCACGGATTGAGACAAGGGGACAACTATCCGATTTCCTGTTCGAAATACCCTTCGAGAACCTTCAAGACACCTTCGAGGCACTTCGAGAATCCAACGCACCTTCGAGGCCCGAGTGGAAAACCCCCAGGCCAAGCCAGTAAAGAACGTCGTTATATCGAGTCAGGTCGTAGACGTTGACGTAAACGGGAGTTCCTAACAGGCGCTGCGAGTCCTCCGCCTTGTCGTCGCGCCCGCCTCGCCCCATCGCCTCGCGCCCGCGCGCGCTGCGAATCACATGTGACACTATCGAAGGGAGGCAACCCTTTCGCAGAGACCGTTCCTTCCTCGAGATGATATTGTGGGACTTTGGCTCAAAGGATTGTCAAGTAACTAGCTCAACTGACTCTTTTGCTCCAGCAGCACGCGCGCATGTCGAGTGTTACCAGCGGGAATTGATGAATTCACCAAGTTCTGGTACATCTACGTCCCGAGTTTCAAGCAGTCTCAGAACTTAATTACTAATGCACGTTAAGAACTACGGAGAGAGCTCGCGGCTCGCGAGGGAGGGGGGGAAATCGCTAACGCGTGAGCAAGAGGTGGCGCGGTGCGGTGCGGTGCTTCGGGAATGCCGGTGGTGAAATAGTGTGCCTTCTTGTTCCGTCAGACCTAAAGGCGCTGCGATACTGACAGGCCACTTGTCGACTGGTGCTGAATGTGGTGGTTGGACTGCGGATGCTCGTTAGAGAGTCGGCTGCCAATTCTGTACAAGGTACACCCAGGCAAAATGTAATAACAAAAATGCTGGATTCCCTGTCAGCAACATTAGTTCATCTTTACCTCATATAGTTATTAAAGAGAAAAAATTCAGGAAATGAAATTATTTCTACCTTAATTTTTTCATATTTAAACACTAATTATAAAATATCATTTATATACTAGTGGAGGTTATGGTCAGTCAAATTATGTATGAGCTTGCAAGTTGCAAGTCATGGACGTAAAAAAATCGGTCAGATATGTATAGTATGCTGTAATCATGATAGCTCTTCAGGAACTGGCATCTTTGTAGTAGCCTTCGGAAATTTGTATTCGTTTTGTTAAACCCGTGTGAAATCTCACCTCTGTTTGGAAACGCGTGGATTTATACCTTGAAGTATACAAGGGACTGACAAATACCTCTGTGTTACGAGTGCAATTGAGTGAACGAACGAGAATTGCACTATCGAAGCAAGAGTACAATGAGCGAAGGTATGAGCGAATAATATATAGCGAAACTACAGTGGTAACGGTAATGGACTGTGGTTGTCGCGCGACGGGCCTGGGACTGAGGTTGGGAAAAGTGTCGAAGCGGAGGCCCGGAGCGCGGGTTACCCACCGAGCCGTGAGGTCGGGGTGCGATGTGCGAAGGTGGCGGGCAGATTGTCGATGCGAGGGTTGCGAGTGGTAACGGTGCTGACTGTGGTGCTACAATGATGTACGCGTTGAGCAGGGATGCGAAGAAAGGAAAAGGATTTTTCCTTACACTACCCCCCCCCTTAAGGAGGTCCTCCTTACGAGAGTGCGTGTACATCCCTGAAATTTCGGCTGCGCAGATACTCGGTGAGGACGGGGTGGTTTTCGATTCTGTCCAGGGGAACCCAATTGTCTTCGGTGGGTGTACGGTCCTTCCAGCGGAGTAAGAACTTGATCCTTCGGGCTCCTCGAGGGTCGCGAACTCTGTGACTCAGGATTTTCTCGGGGGTGATGATTGGTTCAGTTGGTGGTCTTGTCATGCTGGCTGGGCGATTGCGTGGCAGTTGGCTCGTGGACGGGACGTAAGGGCGAAGTAGGCTGACGTGGAATGAGGGGCTGACGTACCAGTCAGCAGGGAGGAGGAGGTGGGCGTTGACGGGTGTAAGCATGTGGCTTATGCGAAATGGCCCGCAGTATCGGGGGCGGAGTTTCGGAGTGATGGGCAGTCGGAGGTTCTGAGTGTCAAGTAAAACTAAGTCGTCGGGCTGGTAAGTGACGGGTCTGCGGTGGCGGTCGGCGTTGCGTTTAGCGATGATGTTCAATTTTTTTATTGCGTCTACTGCCCGGGTCCGTGCTGCTTGTAATATTTCGGCGAACTGTTGCGCGCGTGGAACCGGGTTGTCGGGATTCGGGGTCATGGGTACTGTTGGGTCTTGTTCGTCATTCAGGTAAAACGGTGACTGTTGGGTCGTGGCAGATGGGGCGTTGTTGTATGCGAATTCGATGAGTGGCAGTTGCTGTTCCCACGTGTTTGGGTCGTCGCACGTGGCCCGGATGAGCTGTTCCATGGTCTGATTTGTCCGTTCTGTCTGTCCGTCTGTTTCGGGGTGGTACGATGAACTAAACTGTAGTCGCGTGCCGAACTGCTGCCACAGGTTCCGCCAGAAGTTGCTGGTGAATTTCGTGTCTCTGTCGCTGATGATCGATGCTGGTATCCCGTGCAGTCGAACGACAGTAGAGATGAAGAGGCGGGCTGTTTCTTCGGCTGTGATTGATTTTTTGCAGGCTGCGAAGTGTGCCATTTTCGTCAATCGATCGACGACGACCAGGATCGCGTCATTTCCACTCGCCCCGGCCGGTAACCCCGTGACGAAGTCCATCGTCACCTGCTGCCAAGCACGCTCTGGAGGGGGGATTGGCTGCAACTGTCCCGCCGACCGCTTCCGTGTTGACTTCATGATCTGGCAAGTGGGACACGATGCCACGTGTCGCTGCACGTCGGTCAACATTTCGGGCCAGTAATAATACCGCTGCAGCTGCTGCCGTGTTTTTTCTACTCCGAAATGCCCCGAAGTAACTCCGTCGTGTGCCTCCTGTAACAGTAATTCCCGTAGCAGTGTATACCCAGGTACCCAAATGTGGTCAGTCCCGGTTTTTACGTAATAGACTCCCTTTGCTGTTGCGAACTGCTGCGAATTTCCTCCTGTGAAGAATGGATCCGTCTGGTACCCGTGGGTGAATAGGCCTGTCAGTAGCGAGCTTGTCTGGGCGAGTAGTATTGCGTGGATCTGGGCAGTGGGGCGGGTCAGTGCGTCGGCGATGTTCGAGGCTCCCTTTTTGTAAGTGACCGTGTAGTGGAAGTTTGACTCGAGGAAATCGAGCCACCGAATCTGTCGTGGGTTGAGGTGGGGCTGTGCGCGGAGGTACTGTAGTGATCGGTGGTCTGTCCGTACTGTCACGTATGCGCCGGTCAAGTAGCAGCGCCACACTTTGAACGCATGCACGATCGCGAGCATTTCGCGATCTTGTATCGGGTAATTTCGCTCGGGCGGATGCAGTTTTCGTGACTCGTATGCGATGGGCTGTAGGCCATTGCCGAAGTCCTGTAGCAGTACGGCTCCAATGGCGATGTCGCTTGCGTCTATAACAACCTCGAAGGGGCGGTGTGGGTCGGCGATGCGCAGGACGGGCGGTGAACAGAGAACATTTTTCAGGGCAGAGAAGGCAGCATGCTCTTTCTCCCCCCACGTAAAAACGACCCCCTTTCGCAGTAAATCCGTCAGCGGGGCAGTCAACTGTGCCATGTCGGGGACGAACCGACGAACATAATTAACGAACCCTAAAAAACTCTGCAGTTCCGTGATGTTCGTCGGGGGACGCCACGCTTTTACCGTATCCAGCTTCTTTGGGTCGATTTCAACTCCAGCCTCCAAAATAACGTGCCCAAAAAATTCTAGTCTGTCCCGAAAAAACTCGCACTTAGAGCCCTTGGTGAGTAACCGATGTTTCTCTAAAACTTTAAATACTGCTTCGAGATCCGCTAAGTGCTGCTGCTTGTCGCAACTGTAGACGAGGATGTCGTCGAGGTAAACTATCACGCATTTATCTAAGAGTGGCCTAAATGCCTCGTTCATGGTCATCTGAAAAGTCGCCGGTGCGTTGGTCAACCCGAATGGCATCACAGTGTACTCGAACGACCCGTACCTAGTCCTGAAAGCTGTTTTGGCGCAGTCCGATGGTTCGACCCTAATCTGATGGTAACCTCCCCGTAAATCTATTTTTGAAAAAACCCGTGCTGTTCGCAGTTGGTCGATCAGTTCGTCGGCGCGGGGAAAGGGGTACCGCGACTTGACTGTTACCCTGTTGAGCGCTCGGTAATCGATGCACATGCGAAACCCTCCGTCTATTTTCGGTGTGAACAGTATCGGTGCGGCGAACGGTGACGAACTTGGTCGAATAAACTGCTTCTCTAACAAATAATCTAACTGCTTCCTCAGTTCGTCGAGCTCGGGCTGTGTCAGTCTGAACTGGCGCTGTACAGTTGGCTGTGCCCCCGGTTCTAACTCGATCCTATGATCATGCGCCCGCTGAGGTGGCAGTCCTTCCGGTAAGTCGTCTGGAAAAATCCCCGGGTACCGTTTCAATAGTTCCTGTAGTTCGGGCGGTACTGCTGTCAACAGTTTCTGAAAATCACTCGGCTGCTCTGCTTCCTCTACTACTGCGATGTCTACTGCGTACACGTCAGCCTCAGCAGCGACAGCCCGTTTCATTGTGATAGCGTTGACGTGTACCGTTGAAGACTCGGGCGACTGCCAGCGAGGTAGCTCGACCCAGTTACCACTACTTCGCACGGTGCAGCTACCCGTCGTCCAGTCAATTCGCGGGTTATATCGTCACAGCCAATCACGTCCCAGTAAAATATCGTGCCCATCCAGTGTCGTTGCGAGCATTTCCTGTGTAAACCCGAAATTTCCCCCGCAGCGGACTTTGACTCGCTCTACCTTTTCCCGTATGGCCAGTGGCGTGCCGTCGACTAAGCGTGCGTCTATCTCCGGTAAGCAACGGCTAAGTGTCAGCTGCAGTTTTCGTGCGGTTGCGGTATTAACTAAACTGTGGCTTGCTCCTCCGTCGATAAAAATCTTCACTGCTGCTCCCTGTATTTTCCCGTGGATCAGTACTGGGCAATCCGTCGCTGTACCCTCCTTATTCATCCGAGCCCGATCGATGGCGTGAATCGGTACTGTGACTCGGTGAGGGTCGGTGCGGTTGGGCGAGCAGGCAGTCTCGTCAGTAGTTGGCCCAACTTCTACTGACTGCTGGCGTTTCCCTGCCTCTGAGACTCCCTTCCCTGCTCTGCTCCGCGGCGCCTTAGCTCCTCTGGGCAATCGCTCTTGCGATGGCCCGGCCTGTTGCAAGCAAAGCAGCGCCCCTTAAACGGTGCGGCAGCTGCATTCGTTGCAACAGCGTTTTCAGTGGCGTGCTCGATCGGTCCCCGAGGACGATGTCCGTAGTAGGACCCCGGTCTCGGTCGGCGTA